AAAAAAAAAAAAAAAGATATGACAGAGAAAGAGAGAGCGCGCGCGAGCACGAGCAGGGGGAGCAGCAGAGAGAGAGAGGGAGAAGCAGGCTCCCCGCTGAGCAGGGAGCCCGACGCGGGGCTCGATCCCAGGACCCCGGGATCACGACCTGAGCTGAAGGCAGGCGCTTCACCGACTGAGCCACCCAGGCGCCCCCAGACAAAACTCTTATGGACCCTGCCGGCCAATGTGAGTAGAAGCTTCTGGAACACAACATGGGAAGAACATGTAGGAAATAATACAGCTGGACGCAGCTATATTCTACCTTGCCTGGTCAGCGATCTGCGGGGCTAAAATTGCATGTGTGGTGGCTACCTGACCTTCTATGAACGGATCACCCCCACTGGACCTTCTAGGTCAGTCTTGAAGCTCTCTCCAACCAAGTGTGTAAGGTATCTTTAAACACTGGGCAGTTTGAGCCTACGCCACACTCTTATCCCAGAGAAACCCAAACGGGCCAGAATGGGCTTTCTAACTACGGATACCAATGCTGGTCATGTTAACAGCGTTTCTCGTTGGAAAGACAGGCAGGTGCGTATGTGGCAGAGGTGGTGCTGGAGGCCAGGACGGTGACGTGTGCTCAGGCCAGCCTCCCAGGCCTGCGCCTGTGCGCTCGCGGGGCCCCGTGCTTGGCTGAATGCTCTGTTACTGCCGTGTTGACAGTCGTAATCCTTTTTGAACAGGGGGTGTGAATTTTCCTCTTGCACTGGGCCTGCGGCTTCTGCAGCCAGTTTTGAGTATAAGCATGTGGGAGGAGGCAAGAGGGGTGCTTTTTCCCTGACATGCCCACAGGAGCATTCGGAGTCCTTTCCCAGTGTCAGCGGTACGGCCGAGAAAGGCGGCCTTCGCCTTGCGTGCCACGCCATGCTGAGCACAGCGGCCCGGCTCTGTAGGGAGACCAGCCGTGGGCCGGGAAGAAGGACTTCTCCCTGCCCTCTGGAAGGGACGAGCAACCTCCCACTCTTACAACCGCCACCGTCAAGGCTCCAGGTTCTCCTAAACACAGCCCGTGTTTTTGCGAAGAAAGTCTTGCTGGGACAGAGTTGTACCTCTTCGTTCACCGGCCGTGGCCACCTGGGGCCTGCAGGGGTGTGTGGAGTAGCCGGGACAGGACGGAGAGCGGACAGCAGCAGCCGTGGCGCTGAGCGTGGGCCCGGGCCCAGCAGCACCTCTGTGCGGACTCAACATGCAGACCCTTGCGGCCCCTCCCCCTCCCGAGCAACTGCTTCAGAAACTCGGGGGGCGGACCCAGTAATCTGTGCTGAACAAGCCTCTCGGCGGGGGGGCTCCTCACGGAGGCTCAAACTGGAGCACCCCGACCCGAAAGAATCACACCGGCTCTTTACTCTGTCAGCTCTAGCTGTTTTCTTTGATGAGCAGCCAAACTCCAGCACAATAAAAACCTAACCCCACAAAGGGATTCCTGGCTTGTGGCCAAGACGGAATAACGGGGACCTGATTTGTTCTCCTGCCTGAAACAACTAAAAAACTGGACAATAGGAAACAATGGTCTTTAAGATATTAGACGTCCGGCCATGAAGAACCGTCCGTGGCTTCCGAGTCAGTTACTAAAACGAACACTCACCAGAACCAAAGAATCCCCCTTAGATGACCCAAAACGCATTGCACGGCAGCAGTGGACACCAGTCCATGTGAAGGCCCAGCTCAGTACCCGCTCGGGCAAGAGAAACTCCTCCCCATAACCCTGTTCCCATCATCATCTCCGGGACTGGGGTCTCCTGAAGGCCTGCTCTCACTGAGACTGTCGGCTAAGCGGAGTCACAGACATGGGTGTGGATGACAGCGT